ATCCTGCATAAAGAACCCTAAATCCTGCAGTAACAAAAACCCTAAATCCTAAATCCTGCATGAAAAAACCCTAAATCCTACACCTCAAAGGGCTCAGACCTTTGAGCCTTGGGCTTCGGGCCATTGTCCATCTTGGCCTTCAAGACCCTTTTGAATTTCTGGACTCTAAACTCGGACACTCAAAGGAAGCGTGACATGAAGCCTAAAGGAGATGGTCTTAGAAGATTATATGATGATTTTGTTGCATGGGGGAGGAAGAAGAAGAAAAGCAACACGGAACAAATGGTGCTAGTCGCTAAGCGCCAGTCAATCCTACCCGTACCACTCGTGTCAAGTTTCACTGCTGCCACCGCACGAGCCAAGCAGCTGCATCGATCAGAATACCCAAAGAAGCTCTAACCAGCTCAGCTGAAAACTCAACCCAACCCTAAACCGATGCAAAACTCTCAAGCCCTCCCTAAACCGACCCAAAACTCTCAACCCTTCCCTAAACCGACCCAGAACTCTCAACCCCTCAACTAAGCCGACCCAAAACTCTCCCCTCAACTAAACGCATTGGTGTGCCTAGCAGGTCGCGTCTTCTCCGAGTGCGCAGATCTTAGCACAGGGTTTACGGTTTTAGAGTAATGCATTACCCTAAGGGTCCAAGTAGCCCTTATTTATGGCTTTAGGTACCCAAAAAGGCCCCAAAGTCCTTAAACAATGGGTACTTGGACCCTCAGGGTTATGTAGTGTATGAAACATCGTCCATGATATAGTATATAGTCGAATACAGTATATAGCAGAAATAGCAGAACAGAATGAACGATAATAGAATGAGTATGTGTATACATATATATATATATATATATATATATACGTATACATCTATGTTGACAATATGGTATATATGATACAATGTACAAACTAGTCATACAATAAAATGCTATGCAAAACGCTTAATAGTATAGTACGTACTGTAAAATGTAATACACGCCCTCAGAGCCGCTCAGCTTGCAATGTCTGACTGTCTGGGGTTAAGGGCTTGGGGCGACCGCTCGAAAAGGAAACCATAAACCCTAAACCTTAAACTCTCAACCCTAAACCCACCGGGCACTAAGCCACCTCAGGCTCTGTAAAGCCCTAGACCCTATAAGCCCTGAGTCTCAAACCCTATAGGCCCCTGTTGTACCCTCATAGAACCCTGAATCTTCGTATTAATATCAGTATAAAAATCTAGATGATTACTATTATTATCATCATGATTATACCGATTTTCGCAAGAATTGAAAACCCGTTTTTATTGCTGCCATTACTATGGTCCTCATCATTATTAATGGTCTGTCATCAACACAGGAACCCTAAACCCTAAACCCTAAACCTTTGCTTCAGGGCTTGAGGCCTTGAGGTTCGGGTTTGGGACTGGGAGTCTGGGCGTAAGGCTTCAAGGTCTAGGGTTGAGGCTTGAGGGCCCCGGGTGTGTTCGGAATTTAGGGTTTTGGGGGTGTAGGAATTTGGGGTTTGGGGTTTAGGAATTGAGGTTTATGCTTTCGGGTCCACGGCTTATTCGGAATTTAGGGTTCTGGGGCTCAGGGTTTAGGGTCCAGAGTTTAGGAATGTAGGGTTTTGGGGGCTTAGGGTTGTAGGGTTTGGGGGCTTAGGGTTGTAGGGTTTAGGGTTTAAGGTTTCCAGTTTAGGGTTTAGGGTTCCGGTTTAGGGTTTAGGGCTTAGGGCTTAGGATATAGAGTCTAAGGTTTAGGGTATGAAAGCCAACAAAACCCTGCACGATTCTCAAAAACCCAAAAGAAACCCTGAAAACTCTCGAAGCCCAAAACCCAAGCTTTCAGGCGTTGGGTTCACGGATTAAAGGTTTTGCACTCAAGTTAAAAACATAAGAATGAATCTGAGGCAGCTAACAACAAACAGCTGACCACAAAACCCGGGAGGACTCTGAAACGGGAACAAGAATCGCGAAACATCAGCCCTACCTCGGCATGTACAAAACTGTCAAAACCATGGTCCCTTTGGGGAACCCTACACAGTTCTACTCTCAATACAGCACCCTACAGTTCGGGAGCCCACGAGGGACCCTAGTTTTGACACCCATGTGGGTAGTATGTGGGTAGTTCTCTAAAGTGGGGTCCCTTTCTAGGCATCCATTAGGGTACGGCACGCTGATAAAAAGGACCGCAAAACGGAGCCTAAGTGATGTAAGCGTGAATGATGCTTGTGTGCCTGGGTGCTTAGGAATGCAGCGATGTACGCCGTGTCGACCTCGTCTCCGTCGCGTTCTCAAGGCAATCCTGAAAGGAACCCTTGTAAGCATCCCCATAGTAACTCTTTAAGGTAACCGTAAAGGTAGCCTTTTGATCGACCTTATAGTAACCCTTTCAAGGAAACCTTAAAGGAGGCCTTAAAGGAACGAAGCCTCAAAGGAACCCGCAACCCTTAAAGGAACCCGAAAAGGAACCCTTTAAAGGAACCTTTAGAGGAGCCCTTAAAGTAACCCCTAAAGGCACCCTAAAGACCCCGAGGTGATCCCAGGGCTGCCACCCCAGGAGGTCCAGGATCGCTGGCGACAGGGCTCCCTTGATGACGCAAGAGACCTGCTTGGGGGGGCGGGGGGGGGGGG